GAACTGGCAGCACCGGCGCAGCGTTTGTAGACACGATGAATTCGATTTACTAACCGCGTGCTTGCATGCTAAGTCTCTTTATTTCAGGTGTGGGTTTTCGGTTCTGTCCTAATGCCTTTCTTTCTCATATAAATGTCTAGTGGGCCATGAGCTAGGCCCTTTGGGGCCACTACAGAAGCGACGACGGGTCCTGCAGAGAATTACGGCGAGCCGGCGCAGCGTTTGTAGGCACGCTGAATTCGATTTACTAACCGCGTGCTTGCATGCTAAGTCTCTTTATTTCAGGTGGTGGGTTTACAGTTTTTACCTTAATGCTTTTCTTTCTCATATAAATATCTCCCTGTACTCTATTCCATTAACTTGCACACCTCGCCTAAGCCAATTGTATTCGATTTCCATAACATTTTTGTGTTCGTGGCATTCCGTGAACCATACTTCCTGACCTCGTGCACTTAGCTAGGATTTGTTTGTAAACAACTTATTACATATGCTATTTAATTAAGGTTTATATCACCGTTTCCTTATGCATTAATCGAGTTTTTCTCTTTTTCTTTCTCTCTCTCTCAAGTGTTTGGCTGTTGTTTGATATCCCCGGTGTGGCTGCGCTTGATGTGCATGTTGACAAGGTGCCTACCTGTCTATTACCCACTACCTCGTCCATACTGGCTCCAGGAGACAGTTGGTCGTTGCTGGAGGGGACGGGGTGCACGGTCCTTGTGGCCGTGTTAGGCTCGAAGAGTGGTTCCATGCAGTCAATGTGGAGCGGACAACGGTACAGCCACCGCCTTGTGTTCGCTTGACTCCCAAATACAGTGTGCTTGTGTTTGCCTGTGAAGGAGTGTGGGCCGGCTCCGTTGATGAAACGCGGCTCCCTTCCGCATGCCTCCCGGTCTTATTCCTTCGGGTTTACATTGGATAGGGTGTGTGGTGGAGTTGTGGGAGGTGCGGCGCAAGCCAACCCATGGTCCCTCTGTAGGCGCAGGCGTCCTGTGGCTTGCCACAGTGACAGGCCAATCCGAAACCGGATGCCGCCAACCATATATATATATATATATATATATATATATATATATATATATATATATATATATATATATATATATATATATATCGAACACTTGACCAACAGTACACTTGGCGGCGTGCCACAACGTATGGACAAAAAGAACACTAAAATAATGAAAGAATAGGGGGATTAAAAAAGAATCCGAACTGCAGTTATGGGGTATAGTCTAACAACTTGTTCGACGAGCACTTAGACGCAACGCATATGAGTCTTGTCCCTCTGTGGTTAGGACAGTCTGACCGAGGCGATTGACGTATATCGCTTATTGTAGGTAGCTGGCTACCGCGGTTTTCGTGTAGGAACAAACTTCAGGACGCCCCAAGAAGGCCGAACGACACAACACGGAGACCAGGAGAAATTTCCTGGACCACCGAACTCGCAGAAGAGCAAGCACGCCGTTGACAGTTATGTTGCTCATACGCCTTCACAGAAGCCGGTGGACCTCCGTTGGGTACTCACTTCTGATCGCAGCACTGAGTGGTCAGTAATCCAATAACCGATCACATTGGTTTTGACACAGCGTCTTACTTGCTGTTGTGGTGTTTAATGAAGGACCAGCTGACCAGCCCAGAACTCACGCTCTACGATGTTACCGCTGATCATCCGCAACTGCTTACTCATCTCGCCTGCGAACAGCCGGTATTTATTCACAGTTACCTTCACAAGGAAGGCGTTCCCCGATCTGCAACCTTGGGACGCGCCCTGTCGAGTACACCGCCGAACCAACCAGTACTCAGTTCACTTCCGGAGTTTTCTCGAGTGAATGTCTGCGGAACGATCGCATCGATGTTAGGCTTCATTATTCCTAATACATCCAAGAGGCCAGTTTCACTCTTGCACTCGATCTTTTGCTTACAATCGATGCTCCTGTTTCCCTCTTATTTTTCTACTTTTTTCGGGCAATTCACTTCGCGCATCGCGGCCCGTTTGAAAACCATTGACGAAGAACTGAACCACTCATCCAAACATAGTACCAATTTACATCTGATCTCTTCTGAGTTAAGAAGCGCGTCACCACACTGGCCCTTCTCAACTAGTTTAGTGAGCATAGTGATAACAGGACGCTCTTCTATTTCCCGATCAGCTTTCAAGTCGACCTGTTTGCATCCGAACCAACGGTCTCTGAGATATTCTGTGCCCCGGGAGCCTGCTAACACATATCTAATGGTGGTGTACTTGGGCAGATATGTACACCTTGTGGAAACAACAATCTATTCTTGACTTTGACAACATGCTTTTTACCCCCATATCTACTGGTTTCCGTCTGTTTTTACATCATAATGATGATGTGCTATTTCGTCATACAAGAAGGAGGTTCGAAAGCGTCGCAGCTTTTTCTAGCATGAAATCAATGGGAGCCCGGATTGCATAAATTCAATTTACTCTCCCTATCGCATCCATGTATTTAGTACTACAGCTAGGTAGAATGATGGACTATGTACTATACACTTGTGCTAATTTTGCGTTAACATGTATTCGTCTATATCCGCTTGGAGAACAGTGAAACTAGCTCAACAGCGCCACTAGCTGTTTGCTTGGCGTGCGAGTTGCTGACTGCCTTACCAGACTCGTCTCACGAAGTGGCCGCTAGCCGTACGACTTCAACGAATGTTTATGCTAGAGCTACACTATTCTACATGTCGAGTACAATTTTCCTCTTCGTGGTTTACACTACACGTCACAGCGTCTGCTATACTCTCACCAATCCCATGGTAGTCAAGTGCGAGCTCTCAGCATAATCGTGTGCGTGTTCATTTTGAAGCGAACTGTTGTTAACTTTCCGTTTACCGTACTAGCTTGTATCTCGGCTTGTGACATGGTACAATTTTGTTTCTTTGCAGCGGAGCTTTCTTGTTATTTTATACTTAATCTAGAACTTTTGGACAGTGATGACCCCCTTCGCGTTACTTCTTTCGATATTCTGGCAAAAGCTGTTCTCCGATTCTTGCTTTCTTTTTCTAATTGCAATGGAATGTCATTATAAGGAACGCCAGCATAAGAGACGGTTCAGGATAATGCACTTTTCAAGTCTTCTCACGTTTTCCCTATTTAATGTCTCGGAGAGTGCTCGGAAGAAAATCATTAACCTTGTTCCAGAAATAAAACCCGGAACCTTGTATACCGCTAACATTTCATATGTCGAACAACTATAGAGACCTCTTGCAGGTATCGCATACCACAACTTTGTACATTGACACTTCAGTGAAACGAACTTTCACCGACACGCACTGACTTTTGAAATCACCGAAATTTCGTTGTGTTGATATTTCACTGTACATCATTTTTCGTTATAGGTGGCTAGATTAGCTCCTTCTGGGTCCCACTACCTGACTGTTCGCGGCGATCACCAGCTTCGACTACATCCAAACTGCATTTTGTACAGCGCAACATTGAAATGGCCAGCCTGGATTTTGTTCACTAATGTATTCTTAACTTCGGGTACCTCGGACGACAGCAACTCCTGGCGGCCCGTGGACGACGGTAACAGCGCTCCAACGTGCGTTAGCGGTGTGAGCGCCATACAACCTGACTGGCTTCTTGAACTTGCACCCCACTATTACGAATTTGGGACCGACCGTGAACATCTAGAGAAAGCATTCCTCGCGTCACGTTAACAGCTTCTTCACGTGTCACGCCTTGTAAAGATAACACATTCTGGCTAATTTTGCCGTTGTACACATCTGCATGCACTATCTGTTCGTATTAAACGTTCTTACTCTTAGTCAACCTCATTCCGTTGCATTTCTGTTCAGAACGAATACGGTGCGATCGGAAGATTCCAGCCATCGCATGTTTTTAATAACTCACAGTTGTGTATAGCACAGTGGTTGACGTGATTATGTGCCAAACACCGTCCGTTTTGTTCACTTCGGACCTGAGGTCATTTGATCATTCTCTTTTTATGACAAATCCTAATTCGATTACTGTTACCATTTACATAGTCTTCTGGCAATGAACGTTGTAAAGCTTGTCAAGCGAAAGTGTCCTGCACCTACATTGGGCTTATTTTTACAAAGTAGAGAACTATAGGCCGATCTGTTTGACCTTAATATTAGCCAAAGTTCTCGAGAAGGTTGTGAAAAGGTGCCTGCTGTCGTTCTTCGAATCGATTGACGTATTGATGCCAGCGTGACACGGCTTTACGAAAGGGCGATCCTGCACCACCAGTGGGTACGAGCTCTCAACGAACGGAACGATGTTGACGTGGTGTACATCGACTTTAGTAAGGCGTTTGATAGAGGACTCCTTCGTAAACTGTGAACCTACGGAATCGGTGGCCCGCTACTTCAGTGGTTACACGAGTTTATTGTGGGACGAAAGTTTAGAGTACAGGTCAATGACTATCTGATAAACTGGTTTCCACCGACAAGTGGCGTGCCTCAAGGAACTGTACTTGGGCCATTATTATTTCTTATTCATATCAGGGATCTTCCGCAGTAGCTCTAGTCCTCATGTGCCCTGTTTGCAGGTGACTTGAAAACCTGGAGGATCATTGGGAACTAGAACGATTGCGCCCGCCTCCAGCATGGCTTAGAGCGACTGTCAACGTGGTCCATCCTTACTAAATGTTGAGCAGTCAGTATGTCATTTTGAATATGTGGTGCTTGCCAGCTATGGTTATGCTGTGACTAGTTTGCACTCATTAGCCAGGAGCTGTGTATTTAGGCGGGCATTAACAAGTCAGTGGTGATAATTGTGATCCTCCACCGCGGGACGCGAACGCTTACTCCACACTTCATCACCTGAATGCACTTCTAGGCCAACTCAGAATATTCCACGATGCATTTCGTAGAGTTATCGGAGGTCAACTGTGCTTGATACTGTGGATTTTTTTGGCTCACCTTGTGTTAGACTGCCAAAATAGACCAACTCCCAGTAAAAGAAGAGGAAAAGGGCGAGTACGCAAAAAGCTGGAGTGCATTAGAGACAAGCGGATGAGTCAAAATACACTGGCACTCATCCCGATCTATCAGTGATGCTGTGAAGTTCTGACAAATATTACTCGCAAGCGGTGACACGTAAGAAACGTGTCGGGTAAGAGAATATGAGGAACAGTAAGATCGGTTAGACCCAACGTGTATTGACAAGAGATACAAAGCATGGTGAGTAGGTAAGCAAGAGCAAGTAAAAGCGTGACTCACGGGGACATAACAAATGAATGGGATGTACCATCGTTAAAATAGATGGACAATCATAAAACACAAAGAAGAGTATAGTCCAATGTCTCGGATGCTTAAAACGTAATTGTTTCATGCTCAATACAGCGATTTGCTAGTAGGCTGAGTAACGGAATCCTTCGATATGAATGTCTGGTAGAGCGACAATGTGAGGATGGGAGAGTAGGTTAGCAATTAACGTAATCTCACGCGGACAGAAAGGGGGCTGTTAGAGTCCGTTGCCTCCGTGATTGGTACTTAAATGTGGACTGGAATACATCACCGATGGACCGTTGAGGCGGGCCTGTCGTACTTTAAGAAAATGCCTCGCCCAGAGGAATGGCCGACGGTGCGCTTGGGAGGTGTCACCTCCCCACCGCACTTCAGTTCCCGGCCAAAACAGCATAAGTCCCACAGCGCATCTCAGGCGTAAACACATTAATAAACGGTTTACTCCTCGACGGTGCGAGGCACACTCCAACTGAGTGGTCTGATCGCTCGGTACAACGCGATCGTATAAAATAGTTAGCTGCGCATGCTTTTTTACAACAGATTCCAAGTGGGTTTTTGAAATGCTTGGAAGTTCGAAGTTATCACAGAGATTATCAAACAGAACAATAACAATTACAGATTTAATCAACAGTGTAAGTAAAGTAATATGAACATCCCTGGACGCGTCCCAAGCGGAACTGCTTCCATACGGGGTATTCCCTCGATAGGTTCCACCCACACTTCCATACTCCAACTGGCTGTGTGCCGCTGTGGCAAAATTGCACTTAAACCATTACCTGTTTCACAAATTTTTTATAATGACGGTTTTATGTATGCATTATGGGCGATGAAGCCTCAGCCCGTCCCGACCTGCGGATCACTGAAGTATGGCACATTTTTGTTGTGTACATGTGAGTCAATGGTTGTATATATTTGTATACATTTTTAGGTTGGAGGTTGTAATTCGTCACCACAAGAGATCAGCCTAGTCGTGGCCAACAACGAAATAATGAAGAAAATGAAGTATGAGGAATTAGAAAGCATACTACTAATAACTACCTTTTGAAATAAGTCAATCACATGGTCATGGGAAGTCCTGGTGAATAACGACGTGGGTACGGCATTTTCGAGATAAAGAATTATTGCATTCCGGCCAAGGTTTTGTAAGGAATTAAGAGAAGTAAAGCTTATTCAAATGCAGTTCATGGTATCTCTGCAGTTGTTGGTTGGTTACTCCAAAGGTCGAACAATTGAAACCATCAGAATTGAAAATCGATTAGTTCATTAAATTCAGACCATCGATCGCAAGGGTATATCCGGTATAGTTCGCTCAGTGGAGACGTGAAAAAGAAATAAGCTGCGCGGATGAGTACTGAAAGTTACCATGGAGCAAGTCTCAATTATATATGGTTGGCGGCATCCGGTTTCGGATTTGTCTGTCACTGTGGCAAGCCACAGGACGCCTGCGCCTACAGAGGGACCATGGATGGCTTGCGCTGCACCACCCACAGCTCCAACCACACACCCCATATCCAGTGTAAACCCGAAGGAATAAGACCGGGAGGCATGCGGATGGGAGCCACGTTTCATCAACGGAGCCGGCCCACACTCCTTCACAGGCAAACACAAGCACGCTGTATTTGGGAATCAATCGCACACAAGGCGGTGGCTGGACGGTAGTCCGGTCAACACTGACTGCATGGAACCGCTCTTTGAGCCTAGCACGGCCACAAGGACCGTGCACCCCGTCCCCTCCAGCAACGACCAACTGTCTCCTGGAGCCAGTATGGACGAGGCAGTGGGTAATAGACAGGTAGGCACCTTGTCAACATGCACATCAAGCGCAGCCTCACCGGGGATATCAAGCAACAGCCAATCACTTGAAAGAAAGATAACAAAGAAAATAAATCGAGTAATGCATAAGGAAAGGATATATATATCTCAAAGTAATGAGCATCTGAAGTAAATTATTTACAGAAGAATGCGAGATACGTTCACGAGGTCAGAAAATATACTTACGGAAATGCCACGAACACAAACATGTTTTCGAAAATGGACTAGGATTGGTTTAAGTGACGTGTGCAAGTTTATAGAAGAGAGTACAAGTAGACATTTATATGAGATAGCAAAGCATTGGGATAAAATGGAAAACCCACCACCTGAAATAAACAGACTTAGCACGCAAACATACGGTGACATAAATCTTAAATTAGTGAGCATATGAAATAAGTTGTTTACAAAAGGATACGTTTACAAAAGAATACGAGGTAAGTTCACGAGGTCAGGAGGTTTATTTTACTAAAATGCTACCAACACGAAAATGTTATCGAAATAACTACAAGTGGCTTAAGCGACGTGTGCAGGTGTATAGAAGAGAGTATAACTAGGCATTTGTATGGGAAAGAAAAGCATTAGGGCAAACTTGAAAACCCACCACCTGAAATAAATAGAATTAGCATGCAAGCACGCGGTTAGTAAATCGAATGCAGTGTACCTAAAAACGCTGCGCCGGTTCTGCCTACGTTCTCTGCAGAACCCTTCGGCGCTTCGGTAGTAGTCCCGAGTGGCCTCGCTCATGGCTCACTAGGCCTGCCTGACTCAGGCACTCGCGACCGGATGTGCTACAGCACCATGCACTCGATGTCGATGGAGTACAATCCATCGATTAATATTGGTAATAAAACGCAGAGATGGACTAATCATCTTCCACAAATGGCTACTGTGGTTTTGTTTCAAATATGACTTGGTCCTTCAAACAATCAATCGCCGTTCATTTGCAACCGTAAGATCTGTTTCCCATTGTCTGGTATCAGGAAGCTTTTAATATTTTTGTTGAATACACTGAAGTTTTTATCTATCTTATACAACTAGATAGCTTACTCCATATCTGACTGAACTGTATAAGCTAAACGTTCGGTCTGACTGTGGTTTTGAATTTAGGTATTACCATCATACATTCAGTGCCACATATCTTATATAAGTTTTTCAGCCATAATTGCATAGAGTGGTCTGGTCCGGACAACGGACGATAAAGGCTTTCGCCTAACAAGCCTCCTGTTGCTTGTGCCGCTAACTGAAGTGGCCCTCGGCATTTCGACGTTGGATTGACTCTTTTTGCTTCTGCAAAGGAATGAAGCGAGAACAAGCGTAACCTTTGCACTTTCATGTGTCAGCATCAAAATACACGGCATATTCCAGTACAATTAAAATATTTCTTGGAAAATGTCAGACCAACACTCATCTAAGCCCCATTTGAGGGCTTCTACAGACTCACATTCCACTAACTCAAAAGGAAGTTTATTCCAGATGTTTGCTCTCGGTTCGTAAAAACGTTTTGCCCTGATGTCCAAACGAGCCCTATGTTTTTTGAGTTACGGGCGCTGCCCGCGCAGGAGGTCCGACATAGATAACTCAAACAAATGGCTGGGAATTATGACACTAACTCCATTAATGATATTAAACGTCTCTACCAACGCCCCTCTCAACCTACGCCGTTCCATGGAAAATAATCCCAAGTTACTTAGAAGCACTTCGTACGACTTCCCTCGTTGATCTTCGATCATCATGGTCGCAAGTTTCTGAATCTTTCTTATACAGATGGCGTCACTACTGAGGTACGGTGCCCAGGCTTGAACACAGTACTCCAGAGGCGGCCTAACCACAGCTCTATATAACGGCAAGAATACTTCGGCTTTAGTGTTACTCAGCGTCCTCCAAACATGAAACAACTCTTGTCACGTCTTATTGGCAGCATAGGGACACTGTGCCGAAGGCTTAACCGTTCACTATTATGACACCTTAATCCCGGACTTCACCAATACACCGCAATATTGGAGATCCAGCA